GGCAGGGCAGGGCAGGGCAGGGCCCGGGGCGCCGAGCGGCGTGCGCCCGCTGACCGCCCCCTCCTCCCCGCAGCCCGCCGCCGGCCAGGACTGCGGCGGCCCGTGCCAGTGTGCGACCGCGCCGGCGCCGCGCTGCCCCGCCGGCGTCAGCCTCGTGCTGGACGGCTGCGGCTGCTGCCGCGTGTGCGCCAAGCAGCTGGGCGAGCTGTGCACGGAGCGCGACCCCTGCGACCCACACAAGGGCCTCTTCTGCGACTTCGGCTCCCCGGCCAACCGCAAGATCGGCGTGTGCACCGGTAAGCGCCGCGGCCCGGGCCCCTCGCCCCGCGCCGCCTCCGGCGGTGTCCCGGCCGCCCCTCCCCACCCCGGAGCCCTGCTCCCCGCGCACCCCCGACTCGCCTCCCGCCACCGATGCCTGACCCCTGTTCCCTTCCTCTCCCTCAGCCAAAGATGGTGCCCCCTGCGTCTTCGGAGGGACTGTGTACCGGAGCGGCGAGTCCTTCCAGAGCAGCTGCAAATACCAGTGCACTTGCCTGGACGGGGCGGTGGGCTGCGTGCCCCTGTGCAGCATGGACGTCCGCCTGCCCAGCCCTGACTGCCCCTTCCCGCGGAGGGTCAAGCTGCCAGGGAAATGCTGCGAGGAGTGGGTGTGCGACGAGCCCAAGGACCACACCGTGGTTGGCCCTGCCCTCGCCGGTGAGTTGGATCTTCCTCTAAGTCAGTGTTGTGATCTTCCCCCCAGGGGCTGACTCCTAACTCTGCCAGGGGAAGGGGGAAATGTCTTATCCTGGCGTCTTACCTTGTGTTTGTGTGCTCTGCTCTCACAGCTTACCGACTGGAAGACACATTTGGCCCAGACCCAACTATGATCCGGGCCAACTGCCTGGTCCAGACCACAGAGTGGAGCGCCTGTTCCAAGACCTGTGGGATGGGCATCTCCACCCGGGTTACCAATGACAACGCCTTCTGCAGGCTGGAGAAGCAGAGCCGCCTGTGCATGGTCAGGCCTTGCGAAGCCGACCTGGAAGAGAACATTAAGGTACATTTTCTGCTCCTATGAACGAACTTGCATGGAATGATAATGGTTAGGACTGAAGTTGGGCTTCCCCATCCTTGTTATTATAGACCTTTTATCTCCAAAAATATCTAACCGTTGAGCTGTTTTGCTGGAATGGGCTGTTGTGTAATAGAAACCACCAGCTTTCCACTATGAAATTCTCCACACGGTTAGTTAATTCAAGACATCCCGAGAGAGGCCATGTCTATTTTTGGAAAACTGGCAAGTGAGAGTCCAACTTCCTCTCCTCAAAATATAAACAAAAGTCAGACAACATAAGGCTAAAACACACAGAGCTTGAAGAAAGCCACTCCCCTTAGAGAATCATTGACTTTTTTTTTTCTTCTGCTTTGTCTTCCTTAGAAGGGCAAAAAGTGCATCCGTACCCCCAAAATCTCCAAGCCTGTCAAGTTTGAGCTTTCTGGCTGTACCAGCGTGAAGACTTACCGGGCTAAGTTCTGTGGAGTGTGCACAGATGGCCGGTGCTGCACCCCACACAGAACCACGACTCTGCCTGTGGAATTCAAGTGCCCCGACGGGGAGCTCATGAAGAAGAGTATGATGTTCATCAAGACCTGTGCCTGCCATTACAACTGTCCTGGAGACAACGACATCTTTGAGTCCCTGTACTACAGGAAGATGTATGGAGACATGGCCTAAAGCCAGAGAGTGTGAGAGACTCATTAGGCTATAACTTGAACTGATTCACATCTCATTTTTGTGTAGACATGATTTCAGTAGTACAAGTTATTTAAATCTGTTTTTCTAACTGGGGGAGAGAAACAGTCCCACCGAATTCAAAATATTGTGCCATGTGACATTCAAACAAAAGAGTCTTATCAACCCAGACACTGGTTTGAAGAAAGTTAAGACTTGACCGGGGTGGGGGGACTACATTAGCACAGAGCACCAGAATGTAGACTAAGGTGTGGCTTGAGGAGCAGTGGGGGGTCGGGGGGGGGGCACCTGTAGAAATGATTGTCACCTTAAAGTGGTAGGGGCCTGCTCTTTGGAGTGTGATTGAGAAGGAAAATTTTAGCATGCTCACCGACCTGCCTACTGTAGCTCCAGCAACGGCTAGGATGTGTGTCCTCCAGCCTTCATGAGGCTGGGTCAAGTTCTTTAAGTCAGAACAGCAGATTCAGCTCTGACATCCTGATTTGAATGACACTGTTCAGGAATCAGAATCCTGTCTATTAGACTGGACAGCTTGTGGCAAGCTAATTTGCCTGTAACAAGCCAGATTTTTTTTTTTTATTGACACTGTAAATATTGTGTGTGTGTGTGTGTATATATATATATATATATATAAATATATATATATATTTGTACAGTTATCTAAGTTAATTTAAAGTTGTTTGTGCCTTTTTGTTTATGTTTTTATGCTTTGATATTTCAAATGTTAGCCTCAATTCTGAACACCATAGGTAGGATGGAAAGCTTATCTGATAATTCAAAGCATGAAATGGATATTCAAATGGAAATTCTGGTCAGAGTGATACTCCATCAAAACAGATTGTTTACTGAATATGAGGCAGTGATGTCCTTAGAAGTCTAATTTGTCAGTTGAAAATGTGGTAGCCTTGTTTTAATGAACAAGTGGCCTTTATTAAAAAAAAAATGAGTGGCTCTGTATAGATGATCAGTTTTTCCACCTGGAAGCATTTGTTTCTACTTTGACTATGACTGTTTTTTGGACAGTTTATTTGTTAAGAATGTGACCAAAAGTTACATGTTTGCACCTTTCTAGTTGAAAATAAAGTATATATTTTTTCTATAAAAAGTGTGTCCATTCACTTACTCTTCTAAACGTTTCTGAGTTTTCTTGAGTTTCTGTGGGAAGCTTTTGTTTTAAAATAATTCATCTATAATTTTCTAAGGCTCTTTTATTATACTGATAAATTGGTTAATCAATTGAATAGAATTTTACATAAACCTATTTCACACTGAATCAAGTGTCACAAACTTACAGTCATACACAGTATATATTTATACACACACACACACACACACACACACAAGCATAGGCATTTTTTTTTTTTTGTTACATTCACAGTACCTTATAAACATTTAAATTCAATTCTCTCTAGGGGCACCTGGGTGGTTCAGTTTGTTGAGCATCCAACTTTGACTCAAGTCATGATCTCACAGTTCATGAGTTTGAGACCTGCATGCAGCATCGGGCTGGGCTCGGCTCCCTGCTGTCAGAGCAAGCCTGCTTTGGATCATCTGCCCCAGCTTGCGCGTGTGCGCTCTCTTGCTCTCTCTCAAAAATAAATAATAACACTGAAAAATTAAATTCTCTCTAGGTAACTTTAGTCTCCAACAACCCCTGTTGATTACACTTGGTCTTGTCTACATTTAATACCTCTCTGACCACTGTAGGCATTTAATTTCCAACCCTTCATATCACAAACTATAGTCTATACCTTACACATAGAAAACGTTTTAACTATTTTTTGAGTTTGTATGCTCTACCATATCTGTTTTTGAACTTCAAAAAGTTTACTGTTAAATTTGAAAAGTATAAAATCTGCATCCTGATGGAACCATTAATAAGTTGCATTTTTGTATAATTCAGTTTTCAGTTACCATGATAACCAATCACAAATAGATGATGACATAAGTAGAAAAGGAGGATAATTTCTACTAACATTAATAGAAATTTGTCTTCAATTAAAAGCAACTCTTCTATTGTCCCAAGCTTTTGACTATTAGATTTCGAATAGCTTACCAAGAGGTTGGTAAGTGACAAAAGGAAATTGTTCGAGAAGCCTGGAAATGATACTGGGCCTATGTGGGCCCGTACCAAAAAGTGAACTGAAGTATGTGGCCAACAAAAATATTCCAAAGACAGCTTAAAGCACAATATTCCCCAGAATCTGTAGAGCTGTGGATTCTAGGGGGGAACAAAATAGTTGTAGACAAACTAACCCCTCACAGGGTAATTAGCAATGTTGTAGTGTCAGTGTCATTCCAAGAGACAAAAATACATTCGAAAATAAAGACTGGTTCTACAAACAGTGGGATGCCACAAACCAAAGGGAAAACTTCCCATGGTTAAAATGTGCAAAGTCAAAACACTGAACTTTTAGGATGCACCTATATACATATATTGCCACATTGTCAGCAGCTGTACCTCACTTCCCCAAATAAACCCACATGTACATACACGTACAGGGTACACTGTCTCGTTCACATGTTTTTTCCGTCAATTTACTCCTAGATGCAAAGATGAAGGGCCATGGTAAGTGAGCCGGAGTGTTTTAAAAGGAATTTGAGAATTCTGGGAAAACAGAAGTAGTAACGGAAGCATAGATTTTAGATAGTTCCATTTTCCACATAAAAACCGAGGAACTGCACTGCAAAATCAAAATCCCAGGAACAATATTTATAACACAATTAGGTGGCAAGGCATCCCTTCAATCCCAAATGTTAGGGGGAGAAAATCATTAACCACCACAAGACGTGCCCTATGTCAGCATATGTGTGGGAACAAGCAAAGAGTTGCAACAGGATATCTGAGGCTTCTGAGAAGAACAGAGATCCAAAATTGCCAACAGTGAAATGCGGGAGACCAATTTGAGGGTAAAGTTTGTGCCCACTCAAATAAATCTTACAAACCAGGGCTCTCTCCCAAGGGAGGACTCCATGTTCATGGGAATGGAATCAAAATTGAGCAGGTCAGAGACAACAAAGATGTTGAAAGAGAAGGTCTAGATAAAAATGAGGAGAGAACAAAGATTGGAAATCTGAGGAAAGTAAACTGCCATATTGTTTCAAACGCATGAAGACAATAAAAGAGTATCTCCGTGAAATTCAAAAAGCGGTCTAAACCAAGTGTCCTTACTGAACCAAGTTCAAGAAAACTATTTTCACATAACAAATTGGAAAACAAAATTATCATAGCCAAATCCCATACAAAGTTATTATGTGAAAATAATAAAGGGCAGAATAAATCTTTACAGGTAATAAAAGCATGTCAGAAATACATGCCCAGAAACACATCAAAACTATATTATTTCAAAAGAACATTAAGAAAATAATTAGACATAAATTATAAAAAGGAAACAACTAATGACATAAAATAGCAATATAAATCAGAGGTAGCAAAACATAGAAATGTGTTGATAAAACTCAGGAAGGAATTAGAAATAAAAGAAATGTATCAAACAAGAACGAACACAAGAAGGGTGCCTGAATGGCTCAGTTGGTTATGCATCTGATTCATGGCTTCAGCTCAGGTCATGATCTCATGGTTCATGGGTTCAAGCCTTGTGTTGGGCTCTGTGCTGACAACGCAGAGCCTGCTTGAGCTTTTCTGTCTCCCTTTCTCTCTGCCTCTCCCCCACTCATGCCCTCTCTCTCAAAATTAAATAAACATTTAAAAAAAATGAAAAAAAAAAGAATAGACGGTGAGGAAGGAAATCTTTTAAACTAAAAGAAATGAAAACGTTTCAAGAAAAATTGATAAATATTGTAGAGAGGCAAAGAAGATCTAACATATGGAAAGTAGGAGGTCCTGAAGAAAAAAAAAACCAAAAAGTATAAATCAAGAAAACTTTACTGAAATAAAAAGTGACTTGAAAGCACATATTGAAAGAGCATGCCATGGGGGTGCCTAGGTGGCTCAGTCGGTTAAGCGTCCGACCTCAGCTCAGGTCATGATCTTGTGGTTCATGAGTTCAAGCCCCGCGTCAGGCTCTGTGCTGACAGCCCAAAGCCTGGAACCTACTTTGATTCTGTGTCTCCCTCTCTCTGCCCCTCCCCTACCTGTGCTGTCTCTCAAAAACAAATAAACATTTAAAAAAAAATTTTTTAAAGAAAGAGCATGCCATGTACCTGATAAAATCAACCAACATCAAGACATAGTCTAGCAAAATTGCTGAAATATAAAGACAAGGAAAAACCATCAGAACATCTAGGCAAAAAGAACATGAACTTTATAAGTAAAAGAAAATTAACTCAGTATCAGACTTTTTGACAGCAACACTTCATACCAAAAAATTGGAATAACATTTAGGATACTCAAAGAAAGAAAATGTAAATTAAGGAATTTTTATCCTACAGAACTAACATTCAAGAATAAAAGACACAGACAAACTGCCAAAAATAGGGAAGAATTTACAGTGTATTGTTCCTATGGGCCCTTTCTGAAAAACCTACTAGATAGAAAGCTCAGAGAACAAAAATATCTGAGAGATATTAATATAAGAACTGGTATATGAACATTACATATAGCTTATCTTTAGAATTAAAATTAATGAAGTTTACAGAGGAGAATGTACACGGTATAGTGGCTATACAGCATGCTCTGATAGTGTAGACTGCAGCTATTTTTAAGAGAATGGACATAGATGCCTCTCCCTAAATATTTAACTGCTTTTATTGGTGGTGCTGGTATTGTTATTCTGAGACTATTGGTTGTGTAATGTGGGATAAAGCAAGTGAGTCATTATGAATATTCTAATTCTATCGTGAGTGTTGGTGAGTACTGGGATTCTTAGTGAGGAAGTCTCAAAATACAGACGTAACATAAAAGTGGTTAACTTAAATTCTGTAGTTCTGAATTTGAACTAATCAGCATAAACTTATGATCTATTTTATCTTTTAACACACACATACACATACATACAATTTTTCCTACATCTGCTCACTAA